GAGGAAGAACATTAGAAAATTTAAACAAAGGTACAGCGTGGAACCTAAAGGGTTTGAAAAGAAAGAATCGAAGGGCACGTTTTTGAAGAATCAAAGTTTTCGCCAAATTTGTAGAAGCAGCTTTGCCCCAGACGGCTATACCATAGGACAAGTAAGGTTGGACAAATGCCTTAGTCTTGCAACAAGAGCCATATTATGGCTCTTGTCTTGCAAGGATGTCTAATGATTGGCTGATCTTGGTAGAAATATATGTGATATGATGCGGCTAAGATAAATTTGAATCAATAAGGACACCAAGGTATCTTACCGGCGTAGGGCAGAATTCACGGAAATAAACACCCGCGAGTAGCCTGCATTGCAGACGTAATCTGACGCCAGTTAGTAACGTCTGCGAAGCAGCGCCGATATCCTTGTTCTGGGCCCCCAACGGACTTATCGAATTACAGGAAGTGCCCTTTGAATTTCACTTCAACCTGATTGGCCAATTGAACAATGGCTTGTTTTAACAGGCCAATCATGGCGGGTACTCAAATCCTGGTACACAGCTGGCATTCGGCGCTGGCTTGCACAGCGACTTACCAGGGGTCAATTTAAGGTGACTCGACCCAGTTTTTTTGGGGGGGGTACCATCCTACTTTGAAGCTCTCTGGTATCCCCACCTTTACTTCTATCGTAAGTCTAACACATAGAATGGATAACATATAGATCAATCTACAATATAACATACAATTTTTGGCGATCGGAGTAAATGGCACGTGGTTATAATGCCACGCCCCTTTGAAGTCTGAGTCGAAAATCGGTTGTTGCCGGCATTTTTTTGTGAAAATCTCTCGGCTACACGTAGTGCGCGTTAGTGCCTTGCGCTGAACAGAGTTTCACCAAAATCGCAAAGACTCAATTCGAGAAATTCAGTGGTTCAAACTTTACAAGGATTATATATAATAAACTATGAGGTTCATCCCTTTATTTGAGCATCGTTATAACAGATGGGTCCTTGCAAGTCAGCAGAACGCTTTAGGGTCTTGTAAATGCACGCGATTTCGAGCAAAGCAAACATATCGAAATTATAGTTTTCGTTATTTCTTGACGTTTGTCAGCGTTTAAGAGTCCTTCTCACGAAAAAAGCATTTTCTTAAAAATTCGTAGGTTTTTTTCCTTCAAATTTTTTCAGGGCCACAATTGATTAACTAACTACCCGGACTCTGAATTTCATGGTCATTGAAAAACTGTGACATTATCTTCTATAAGCCCAAAATTGAGTAAACATTGAAGATTTTTAGCGTTTTGGCTGAGTTTGTGCTTTGGGAGTTGTCTATTGTTTCTAGTCTGTCATTATACAGCATTCTTGTTCAGCACGCGTGCAATGACCGCGCTTGGCTGACTTCCGAATGCTCACCGAGATATTATAATTTTGGTACAGTGAGACAGGCCATCGCGTGATAGATAGAGGTTTAACTAACAATTTTTAATCAACTCTCGTGCTTCTTGTGTCTTTGCAAAAAAATCAAGAAGTGCTACACACTAAGTCTACTTACTATTACAAAAATATCATTTTTTCATAGGTTTAATGCAAGCCAATAATTAAACCAACTCGTGACGGGAATATCTCGTTGAGCATTCGGAAGTCAGCCAAGCGTGGTCATTGCACGCGTGCTGAACAAGAATGCTGTATAATGACAGACCAGAAACAATAGACAACTCCCAAAGCACAAACTCAGCCAAAACGCTAAAAATCTTCAATGTTTACTCAAGTTTGAGCTTATAGAAGATAATGTCACAGTTTTTCAATGACCATGAAATTCAGAGTCCGGGTAGTTAGTTAATTATTTGTGGCCTTGAAAAAAATTTGAAGGAAAAAAAAACTACGAATTTTTAAGAAAATGCTTTTTTCGTGAGAAGGACCCTCAAACGCTGACAAACGTCAAGAAATAGCGAAAACTATAATTTCTATATGTTTGCTTTGATCGAAATCGCGCGCATTTACAAGGCCCTCAAGCGTTCTGCTGACTTGCAAGGACCCATCTGTTATAACGATGCCCAAAATAAAGGGATAAATCTCATAGTTTATTAGATATAATCCGTGTAAAGTTTGCTTATCATTTTCGCATAAATTATGACCTAAATTTGGAAACCACTGATTTCTCGAATTGGGTCTTTGCGATTTTGGTGAAACTCTGTTCAGCGCAAGGCACTAATGCGCACTACGTGTAGCCGAGAGGTTTTCACAAAAAAATGCCGGGAATAGCCGATTTTCGACTCAGACCTCAAAGGGGCGTGGCATTATAACCACGTGCCATTTACTCCGATCGCCAAAAATTTTATGTTATATTGTAGATTTATCTATATGTTATCCATTCTATGTGTTAGACTTACGATAATAGTAAAGGTGGGGATACCAGAGAGCTTCAAAGTAGGATGGTACTCCCCCAAAAAAACTGGGTCGAGTCACCTTAATAAAACTAAAACAAGTGTAATTTACAATATTGTAACCTTTTTTTCACACTCCTGAGCAATGGCTGCATTTGTAAATTACCCCCTAAGGTTAAGCTTCGCTTGTTGCCCAGGCTAACTTGCGTGAACAAGCATGCACTGTAGTTACTGCTTATTAAATATCATGTCTCGCAGCGTTCCTCATTGCCGGCTCTCGTCGACGATACTGATGCTCCATTGTCCATTCCATATTTTGTTTTCTTATCTTATCCGTTGCTATATTCTATTTCTTTGCAGGTGTTGTAGAAGGCCTAAATGTGATAAACGACCCTAAATGTAATAAAGTGCTAAATGTGATAACAATTTGCCCTAAATGTAATAAACTCTTAAGTTGCCAGTTACAGTAATTACTCGAATAAGTGCCGCCCTCAAATTAATGCCGCATTTGGGGGTGGGGTTAATTAGCGCCACGGTGCTTATTCGTGCAAATACGGTACTAAGCGGTATTACTATGGTATAAAGCACCGCTCTCAAATAAGCACCGCATTTTTGGAGAAAAAATTTAATAAGCACTGCGGCACTAATTCGCGTAAATCCTGTACACTATGCACTGTGAAACTTAACGACAAAGTAACAGTATTTTTCTAAAAAAGCAATATTTAAGCAACTGGAAAACTTTTTTCCTGTGTTTAAAAGCAATAGACAGTTATGCAAACTCTCGACTTCGTCTCGGGTTTGCATAATTGTCAAGAATTCTCCCAAACCCTCGAGTGTTTATATCAGGCTATGCAAACACAGGAAAAAAAGTTTTCTATTGCTTTTATAACTTTCCCGAGAGAAAAGAAAAACTATTTGTTTAGGTTACTGATTAAAAGAGAAATTCTAACCAGTCGCGAAGTCTTGTATACGAAGCTTAATGTACGTGTAATCAGTTCTTGTTTTGCAATAAAGATGCTTTCCAAAAAAGGGTTTTTCTCCCTTAAAATGTCAGCTTAAGCGTAGAAACATTGGCACAGCATGTTTGTAAAGATTTTCCAAGTTTGATCCGACGAGGGAATGGGTAAATAAAGTAAATTTGTCGAGTTTTTAACTCAAAAACATTTTAAAATTCGTGCTTGTGTGATTAGCGCGCGAAGAGCAAAACATCTTGACTCCACACATGTTTACATACTCTCATGCAAACACATCTCTCGGCCAATCAGAGAGCGCGCGTGCTATCTTAGTTATTTATACACGTTGTTATCAGCTGTGCAGTAGTCTTTAGGGCCTGTTTACATGGAGGTGGGGGACCCCAGATGGGTGACGTAACATGCAGCGGCTCACACCACCTATCGTGTAAACGTGATCAAATCAAAATGAGAGATTATGTGGACAGGCGCGTTACCCACCAAAGCCGGTTACCTCACCTACCTTGGGTCCCCCACCTCCGTGTAAACAGGCCCTTAGACTTCTCGTTTTTTGTTCTTAACATTTTAGCTGATTAGATCTCTTTTCTAGAGAAGCAACGTTGACAAGCAACAGGATCTTCGTCCACGGTTTTTGCAGTAAATTTCTTTAACTAAAATGAAGTACGAAAAACTTTTTAAGGTTTACAAGTTTTTTTTTTTATTTTGTCCCTTTACAAGCAATTTATTTGTAAACGTCAAGTTACACAGCGGGCCTAAGGAAATGTACCGAAGCTTATTAAATTTTTTCTCCAAAAATCTGGCGCTTATTTGAGGGCGGAGCTTAAAACCATAGTAATACCTCTTAGCACCGTATTTACACGAATAAGCGCCGCGGCGCTTATGAAATCCCCCAAATGTGGCGCTTATTGTAGGACGGGGCTTATTTGAGTAATTAATGTAATTTGCAACTTAAGAGTTTATTACATTCAGGACAAAACGTTATTAGATTTAGGACTTTATTACACTTATATTAGGACAAAACGTTATTACATTTAGGACTTTATTACATTAAGGGTCGTTATTACATTTAGGCCTCCTACAGGTGTTATTTCTCTGTTAGAGCACAACAAAGATTCCAAGCACTTATTGCAGGTATCTGCTGTCATATTAAAGAAGCTTTTGTATTAACCATTGTTAAACTCAGTCGCTTCCAAAATTTTGCTAGGCCTGTTTTAGTCTTTCCTGAAAAGAGTGCACTCAACAGTTATCATGCTGTAAATCTACAAATACATAGACAATTATTCCTTTTACTAAACGGCATGAACACTGGTACTTGAAACCCCAGTACATTCTAAAGCAGAAATGCCATACGTAGTTATGAAATTTCTACCAGCTCAGTTTCCCTGAATTTGACGTAAATGTCTTCGAAGGAATTGTATCCATTCAAAGATTTTCAATCTGACCAAATACAGAGAAGTTCTCGTAAAATATTTACTGCTCATTAAGCATGCAGGAATGCCGTTTTGAATTTAGCACTAGTTACGGGAACGACTTACGGATTCATTTTCAAATAATCGGCAATTCATTAATAGAATCTTGTGCCGGGGTACGCTTGGCCTGCCTTGATTGTGAGATAACAGTTTCATGCGCCGTGAAGGCTATTTTATATCTACTTATAGTTGCCTGCTTTTTCCGTTAACTTTTAGATCGATTTTAACTTTTCCCTGGGTGGAGTTAGGGGGCAAAGTTAACATCACGTGCGCTAAGACAGGTTACGACGCTTCAATCACGTTTCACACCAAGCCGTTTTATGGCGGGAAACTTCACCGCGTCACGGGTGAAGCCAAGAACACTTCAACAGGACGGGTCATCTGTAAAGTTAATGGCGAGTGGAATGGAAAAATAGAAATCAGCTTCACAAGTCACCTGGTTTGTGTTTATTTCTGTTACGCTTAATAAAAGCTTCTTTTCCCAAACTGAAACCATACAGGTGACTGAATGCCTTGACAAATTACCTACAAGTCTTTTATGTAAGAGGCTTGGGAAACACTGAATTTGTTATTTCTCCTTTAGGAAGAACCAAAAATCATTGACACTAGAGAACTTCCAGTTTTTCGGAAGAGAGTTTGTCCAGAATCAACTCAAGACGAGTGCGAGTCGCGACGCTTTTTGGCATAAAGTGACACATGCACTTAAGAATGACGACATCGAGTCTGCAACGTCAGCAAAACACGAGGTGAGTTTTCACTAGCGTATCCCAGCGTCCTTTGGGGCTCGAGTATATTTGGCCAATCAGCTTACTGAATTACGTACCTCCGATATTGAAATATAGACGACTAGAAAAATATGTACTTCTTTCCACACCTCAACTCTTTGTGGGATTCTGGGTATGACTGTAAAAGGCGCATACGAAACGCAGTTCCAAGTTGTGGAGGCTAATTTATACGTTAAGAGGCGAGCTCAGTAATGAGATGGGTTGTTGAAATTCCAAAGCGCCCCACATGTCTACTGCACACTTGCAAGGCACGGCCATCTCTTTTTCGGTCGTTGAACGTCTTCCCTTGCTTGGCACCGGTTACTTTAAGCGAGGCGCGGTTTCGATAAATTCGTACGGAAGACCACCGCAGTCATGCAGATCTTTCAGCATCGCAAGAGGTTGTGACAAAGTAACATCGACCTACGGGAGGGTTTGTGTTCAGCGGTTTTCGTGAAAACAAGGGTTTGTGGGGCTTGCTCAGTCTCGTGGGCTCACAAAACCTCCCTTAGGTCGATATCGCATGAGAGTGGGGGAAGGGGGATCAAGGGGGTCCGAAACTCCCGCCTTCCATACCTTGCATTTCCGGCTCCCGCCCTTTTTTCCTTGACTTCCTCCTTTTAGCCAACTTCTCTCCCGCCTCCCATACCCCTCCCGTCCCCTATTCGCCCGGTCTTTCTGTCCCGTGTCCTCCCCTGCATGACAAGTGTTTTCATATCAGTTCTTAATCGCCTAAACACATTTGGACGACTATATGGAAACTAAGCTTTACGTGACATCCGTTTTTTGGGTCGATTGTTATGGATATAAAATGCAAGTAAATAATGATCAATTCGCTCTGCGAAAGAATCCCTTGTACTGTTCTGGGAATTCCGTCGTCTGGAACACAACACAGAGTGTAAATTCTTTTTAATGGTCTCTTCATTGGGTTATTAATAGGAAAAGCATGCACATGTATGCCTTGTCCGATGTAACACAAAAAGAAAGTATGATGCCTCTTTTGAGACTTGTAACGGGCTTGTAACTAAACACTATACATGTAATTAGGTGAAAAACGAACTTGTTATACGAACGCTGATGAGTAGACAGTTGCAAGACATTCCCTGAAAACGTTTCGGTGGTGGAATATTCGCTTGACTAACCGGACGTTCATAGGCGGAACTCCTGGAGGTCGGATGAACACTCGAAATCCAGTTCTTTTGTCCAAAACGTCCTGTGCCACTGACTCGCTGCACGACTAATTCTGTGGAGGAGTATGTCGTGTGGTGTCTAAATTCAATGATTTGCTAGGAACCCAAGACACAAAAGTATGCCAAGACACTCGAACAACCCAAGACACAAAAGTAAGCCAAGTACCTCAAGTACGCCAAGTAACTGAAGTAGGCCAAGACACTGAAGCAATCGAAGACACAAAAGCAAGCCAAGTACCTCAAGAACGCCAAGTAACTGAAGTAGGCCAAGACACTGAAGCAATCGAAGACACAAAAGTAAGTCAAGTACCTCAAGAACGCCAAGTAACTGAACTAGGCCAAGACACAAAAGGAAGGCAAGACCCAAGATTCAAAGATTCAAAATGTTTACTGCAAATAAACAAAAAACGTCACCAGTGGCAAACCACGACAGAAACATAAACACAAAATCCAATTAGTCGCTGGCCAATACCTTCGTATGTATCTCTTTTTATAAAACTTACTTGGGGTCTTACACTGAGCCGGCTGGCCGTTTGGTCCATTATTCTCACTTGATTTGGTCCCATATAGTTACAAAAGGAGTACTCATTCCATCTTAAAACAATTTTTCTATTTGGAGTCCTCTAAAGCAAATACCCTGGGGATAGTAAAAAATTCTCCTTCCCTACGTATATACAACTCGTAAGACCTTGCAATTCTTCCGAGCGTGTTCAGGATTACGTTTTTTCCACAAAATGGAAAGGATGGAATAAACCATCCATTACTACATGAGTTACCCTATTTAAGGATCAAACCAAAGACACAAGGCCAACAAGGTAAAAAAATGATACCCTATTAAAGGCTCGAGATCCACAAAAACCATACCCTATCAAGCGGTACTTACCTACCTAACCCATCCATATCTGGGATTATCCCCCCCCCGAAGACTTCACGTGTCACGTGGCAAGCAAACATGGATTTCGGCGACGAATGCCAGGTTATTTATAAAAATATTCTGTTGTTAAATGTTGCTTTTGTTATTTAAATATTTTTAGATTTGAACATGATTCATATCTTTTTGGTGATATGTCACAAGAAGTTTCAGGTCTTTCATAAAAGCGATTCTAGTTTACATTGGTCTCGTGATTAATCAAGGCAGAATAATTCATAGCGGAAGATATGCATGTTTGACCAAACAAAATGTTACGGAGATGTTACGTGCTAGCAGACGTCATCATCTTTATTTACGAAGTACCTTGCATATTTTGGCATTATATTAATGTTGACGAAGTAAGTCCAATCACTCTCAAAAAATTATTACAAAGTGCGATGGAATTATTACAAATTGCTACAGCTTAGTTGATTACAAAGTACGATCGAACTGTTATTACAAATTGCGACAGCTTTTTTATTACAAAGTGCGACATGGTTTATCACAAATTGCGACAGGTATTACAAAGTGCGATGATTATTACAAATTGCGACAGTACAGGGTCACGTTTTTGTGACGTCATCTGTGCGCAGCGCTATTTAACCTATTGCCCTCTGAAAGTTGATTGATTGTTTGTTGCTTTTAATTTTTTATTTAAAACACCCAAGGAATGTCAATTTCATGTTATTGGTAAAAAATAGATGTTGCCTCTTGCCTCTTATCATTTTTCTTCATTATTTGAAAATTAAGATGTCGGCAAAATGTACCAGGAAAAATGGTAACACACCTCCTCGTGTGGCCAGGTGTGGCATCTTCTCCTTTTCTCCCCTCCAGCCTCCCTCTTTTTAGAAAAACAGCATGCACCACAAAGCGATTGAAGAGAATTTCTCCCGCTCTCTTGTCAGACTTGTGAAGCTTTTCCTGAAGCGCTTTTTTGAAATAGTTCGTGACACCAGTCGGACTCTCCTTTTTTCTCAGCATGATATTTCAGAAAGCTCATATATGACCTAGAGAATGGAAGTTGACAAATGTATTTGTTTTTGTTCAATTTATCTTTGGTTGAAATTTTCCTCTCCCTCTTTTTTTTTTTTTTTTTTGAGGGGGGGAGGGGGGTATTGCGTGATTTTGTAACTAAAGAAAATAAAGAAGGATCAAATTCAGCCACTGGATATTGATTCTTATCCCTCCGGCCTAGTACTAAATGATGGGCTGAGATCTTCCTCCTTCTGAGGTGCTTCGTATTTTTTCCACATAGAGGCGAACGTGAAACGCCAGTGACTGGTGACGAACCGCAGTGGACCACGGGAAAGAGAAACAAGAGAGGTGCTCGCCCTTTTTCTCCTTCCCGCCTTTCTTTGCGCGCAAATTTTCATCGAAAGAAAGAGACGTCTGGGTACGAGGCAAAAAGTTTCATCTCCCATTTGAATGTCACAGCCAGTTTCCCGTACAATTAAGTTAAAGTTTACAAAGACAAAATGCTGGATAAAGGAAACAATCTTCATTTATTCAATTCTTCCCTCTGGTTTTGACAAAATTTTAGAACTCTTAGAATCCTAAAGTGTACTAATTACAATCGGCTTCTCTCAATCAAAACTACATAACTTCGAGACAAAATGAAAACTCGAGCAAAATGGAGTGTGGCTGGCCGGGCAGGTTGGGTTTTTCAACTCTTACGCCTTTAGATAAATTTGAAGCTCAGACAATTGTCGTTCAAACCGCCCGGGACGTTTAACTTTTCACACCACTCTCCTGGTTGCATAGTATATTGCTTGTTGCCTGCAAAATCGGTTCCGTTGAACAAAACTACGGACCGGTCCTTAGACAACAAGATAGCAGAGGAGACGTTTGACTTTCCCTTTTCTTCTGGGGGAAATGAGTCGGTCAGATCTTTCTGATTGGCTCCAAACCGCCACAAGAAAATGATAATAATAAAAAGATAACAGTAAGATTATGTCAGTAAAGATGATCGTGAGGTTTGGATCAGCATTAGACTTCTCTTAAATGCAACACGGGTAGAAACTGAAAATAATAATAATAATAAAAAATAATAACTAACCAAGCTGGAATTCACCTCCCGGGGGTACTCCCTATAATGACCTATGAGGGGGAGACTCTGCCCGAATGATGTACCCTTTTTAGGCTTTAGATATTTGAAAGGGTAGGGATTTTAAAATTTACGCACGCAAAAATTACGCGACAGTGGAAATCAACCCATAGAAAAAGATAGAAGAGTAGAAAGAGTAGAGACTTAGGAAATTCACCTAAGTGTAGTTAAGAGGGGAGGTTCTAATCTAATGTTGACCGGTCAACGGCTAAGCTCGATTACCAGTAGCCTCCCACGCAGGCGTTTTTAGGGGAGCTCGTCTTTCATCCCTCCCCACAAGAAAGACAAGCTTCCCTAAAAACGCCTGCATGAGAGGCTAGATTACCAGCCGCTGTTCGGGAAAATGAGCCCGCACTCATCCCCAGACCGGACCCGGGAGACGGTGGAAATCGAGCCTAGTCAACGACGTGTTTCCAGAATTTCCAAAGAACGCCTTGCGCGCATGCTGAAAAATTAACCGGGGCCACCTTACACGCCTAGTTTCTTCAAATCGAGGAGATTTCGTATATTACCAATACAACGAAAAAAATGTTACTTCTCTGAGCAGTGGAGTCTTCCCGTTTAAAACATTGGTGAGTAACGCCCCCGGGGAATTCACTTTATTACTTCGCGGATATGTCAGTCGTGAAAATTTTTGCTCGTTTCAGAGTAGTGTAGCAGCTGCTCGTAAGGTCTCTCCCAGTTGGTCGCAGAAAACAATGACATGTCATTCTTTCTATT